TATATGTACAAAATACAATTATTTCATGTAAATAAATGTAATAACTCATACAATGTAACTATAGTTAATAAAAAACGTTTAGCTTACTAAGCACACATTTCTAATTAAATGTATATAATTATAACTCAAAATAATTTAGTTATCTAAAAAAAAAGTTCAGTGTGCCGTGATTCTTTTAGAAAACCACGGCATGCCATGTTTAATAAAAGTTTGAAAACCACTGATCTATAGTAATTGGTAGTTTAAGCAATTAGTAAAAATCTTATGATCCTAAGATTATTATTTTTTGAGTTACGATGAAGATAAAAATGCACTTTATTAATCAAACTATTGGAAAATAATTAAAATGTCTTCCTTATAAGTACTAAATTGGCATTTTCTATCAACAATCTTTTATAATTGTGATGATTGGAGCAATCTTACTGGTCGAAATCGTGTTCACAGAAAAAAAAAACACACAACGTAGTAAAAACAATACATTTCTCGTTTCGACCAGAATCTACAACTTCATTTGTGATTTTTAATAGTTCATTTTGTAATTATATTATTTATGTTATTTTATTACATTGGCCAACAATGTTCATTAAATAAATAAAAACATAAAAAAAATTATACTTAATATTACAAGATGATATACATAAAAATTATCTTTTAAAGTTACCATTTGTAACTATACACAATAAATTCGGGTAATTATGTATATAATATCAATAAATACATTAACAATGTTGACGAATTAAATTTAAATAAATAAATAAATCATAATTGTACATTACTGCATGTTACTTATATATTATTTATGATCATATAGTGTATTTAGTTTAATGAAGAACGAATATAATATTTAAAGTGAATAATTCTATGAATAATATATCTATATAATAATATATCTATTTTTCTACCCATTAATATAATAATAATGATTATTTGATTTACGCTATGAATAACACAATTTGATAAACATCTCCTTAAATTAACAAATTATTTTATAACGTGTGACATCTATTAATTTATAAATAATTAATTAATTATTAATTAATTCATTGGCCTTGATATATATGAATAATACATATGATCGTACACTATGATTTTACAGTAATAAATAAAATGTTGAGATAGTATTTTTTTTGTTTTAATTGAGAATTATACTTCAATGTGTTGTATTACTATGCGTAACTATTTAATAGTGAATTTAGTGTAGTTACTTAATTTACTAAATTATGTACTATAGTATGTCTACGAAATAATGTCGCCGACTACTTACTATGTTTTAGTAGGTACATTTAGTATTGATGAATTGAATTCATTTTTATAGTAAAGAAATATAATAAACGTGTTTAATAAAAAAATGAATTATAACTGATTTCATAATAATTATAAAATTAGTATTAATTATTACAAGTAATATCTGAATATCATAAGCAGCTACTAATTGTTAAACTAAAACATCAACTTTTTGTATCGACTAAATTCAATCATAAATCCATTATTTTAAAATAAATTACTTTAAATATAATGTATGGCTATTTATTAGTACTAATATTTATTATTTATTTAGTACAAATTTTTTGATTACGACAATTTAAAACAAAATTATAATTTGAATAAAATGTATTTATATATAAATTAAATTTATATTATATTACTTCTATAGATGTGTGATCAAAATACAATTCACTTACATAAATAATAATAATAATAATAATAATAATAATTTAAAATAATTAAATCGTTTTATTTTATGTTATTAATATTTTAATTAAATTTTTGATGATGGCTTAGTATACTTATCAAACTAGATTATTTTGAGACTTTCTATAATTAACTTGATTTAAGTATTAATCGATCATTATGTTTATAATTTAATTCAGTTCATTCTGTAGTACTTATTTAAATATTTCATAAAAGAAAATTTGAGACTTTGTCTTTCGTTATTATATTTAACTATCCTTTTAAAATAGCCACAAACTAATGTTCTTTATTATCTATAGATATAGATAGCCATAGGCTAGGAATGTCTATTTATTTTTGAAAAAAAAAGAAATAAAAAGTCTTTCATTATTTGATAACAATTATTTTTTCAAAACTATTAGTACTCATATAGTTTTTATAATCATGAATTCGATATACATTATTAATAACCATGTTATAAAATTAATTTAGTTATAAATTTGATTTGAAATATAAGCAGTTTTCGCCATTGTATGCCTCACTACCACTGATGTAGTCCAAAACAGAAATGAATTATATTTTAGATCATTTTAATCTGTGCTTTTAGAGATTGCTTGTGTTTATTTATTGATTTTTAATTCTTTTGTTTCAGAAAACATTAAACTACTCGAGTTGATAGCAATGAATCTATAATTAGATTACTATAATATATTAAATAGTTCAATGAAATTCCCTCATTATATAGTAATATTTTTTTAATATTGTTTTTATTAATTATGTCATCAGACTTATATCATTTTCTTGCTCGTTATAATATTTTAATATTTTTTCTGGGTATGCACTCGATATAATATAATATAATTTTTATTAAATATATAATTTTAAATTGAAAAAAAGGAAAAAATACATAAACAACTATATGTTTATTTTGAAAATAGCTCAGTTATAATCTATAAAATATTAAAATTGTATTACCCTATTGATAGAGATCAAGATTTAATAACTATTGTTAGATTAAAAAAAGTTAATTATTTTATATTCAACAGAATAATTAAAAACACTAAAATTATTTCAAAATATATTTACAATTTTTCATATATCTTCATAGTCTCTAATATAACGATTCCATTATTTTTTGATTATTTTCAATTATATGTACATTTTATTACTACTAGATACATAAACTGTATTACTTAAGTTGAGTTTAAGGACACTATTAGTTACTTTTTCCATATTTAACATAAGAGTAAAAACAAATTGTAGGTATTTGTAATTAACTTAACATACTCTCTTGCTCTACATGCGATCGGGTTTTATCAAAATCTATTTTGTATAACGACTTCATACACCATTTTAAATATAATACAGTGAAACAAATTGCACTCGATGTCTTTTAATTGAACATTCACGGTGCATGTATAGGTACATTATATATTTGGCTGTTTTTTTACTGCATCAAATCAAAACGGTATACGTATTATATTCATTAAAGAAAAAAGTTATTCTCGAAAAACCTGATTTTATATCCACCTTTGGCCTCCGTTATTAGGAGACCTTGGATTTTTATGAACCTTTACTTTTTTTTTTAGAATAGAACTTTCATTGTATGAAATGTAATATTAAAAAAAAAAAAAGCGTAAAACGCCACTTTTATAATTTTTCTAAAGGCCTCAAAATACTTAAATCAGGCTCTGTCTAAAAGAGAACATGTTAAAAACTTATTTTGTTTTTTTCTTTTGAGTAAAATATAAAAAAAGATACTTATTGTGTGTCTGAGCCCGTAGATAGAACGTTTGCGATACGGCGAGAATATCACACGCGAAATGTTTTGATTATGTTCTCTTGGGACGTGACTACGAGAATAGGATAGTGGTAACGCTTACTTTAATTTGTCATGACGACGGGGTCGTTTTTATTTATAATACCCGCTTTTTGGACACGTCATTAAAATAGATGTAAGACTTTTGATCATTGTAAGCCCAAAACTTAAAAACATGAAAAAAAAGTAAAAAACTTTCGCTTCACCACTAAAAATATCGATTCTTATCTCAATTGTTACACACGCTTATTAAGCTACAGTACCAATGTATTTGTATAGGTGTTGTATTTATTATTTGAATATATTATTTTCCATTAATAGCGCTTTAAATAAAATACACGAATGATTTCGATATGTCTATTAATCACCATCACAATATTGGTATACTATTCAGAATGATTTATTTCACTAGAAACACTTGATCAATTTACATGTTTTTAAAAATAATGTTCTTTTATGGTCTTATTGTTTTTGCTAAAAATAATATTTTAATATTTGATCTAGTTTATACTTTTTGAAAATGGTAACATAAATTTTAAATTTTGTAAAGAGATGAAACTCTAAAGAATATATCTTTATGGAAATGTTGATTTACGATAAATCGATCATCGAACCTAGAATCAATAGTTCATTAGTTATAACTAGAGCATGGATTTTTATGTAAATACATAATTTTATTTAATGTGAATTTATTATTTCGAATTAAAAACCAACATGTTTCATAACACCCTGAATAATACGAGACTTTTTTAATTTACATATTTTCACATATATTTTGAAGCACATATTTTTAAATATTTCACCAATTTCAAAATGTTCATACCTACACAGTTTTTATTTGTGTTAAAATTATTATATTGGAATTAAATTAAAGAAAAATTAAAGAAGTTATTTCAAATTTTGATTCAGATACTGCAATCGCTATTACACAAGTTTCTGATATTATGTTAAGTAATGACCTAAAAAAATCATTTAGCATATATTTCCTCAAATTTTTGTTTCTTAATAAAAGTAATAAAAAAAAGTTAGAAACATTAAATCGAATAATAATTGAAAGTCTGGCAATAGTGAAAAATTCAGAAATCAAATTAAATTAAGTTCAAGGAGAATCCTGAGTTATAATAAAAAATAAATTAAACCATGTACTCGGTAATAACGTTACTTTACGAAAAATTAAAACTATTAGAAGTATTCTTATGAATAAAAATGAAAATACGTCAAATGATATTGAAGTAACACCATACGAAATGTATGATATGAAATATGTTCCATTAACCTCGGTCGACGTTGAATGCACTTTCAGCTGCTACGAGTCGACTTTGAAATTTAACCACTATACATAAAAATTTGAAAATCTCCAAATGTACGTTGTATCCAATTGTTTCGAAGAAGATAACAATGAAGATGATTAGATGAATAATTATTAATTAAAAAATTAATTTAATATACCAATTCTTTATTGTTAAATATTTCACGTTTTTTAATAAATATTTTGGCAGAAATAAAAACATAAATATTTACATATTTTACTTTTAAATTACATAAAAATCCGCGTTCTAGATATAACATATAAGTTATAATTCTTACATGCAGGCGAGTGCACAGTTAGGAGTTTTAGGGGTTTCAAACCCCTTCCGAAATCCAGGAAAATTATTAAACATATTTTTATAGAATAAAAGTGGTTTATGGATTATATAAGTATGAAAATGAACAAAAAAGCCCCAAAATATTTTTTGTATACGCACCTGATTACAGGTAAGCGTTTTAAGCTTGAATTGGTGTAACATTTGGTTAGCTGTTTTATTTCGATTTTAGATATTTTTATAAAACGGTTTTTCAGAAAAATAATTCGCGTAAGAATATTGAATTAAAAAAATGGTGAAAAAAAGTTAAAAAGTAAAAGTCTCTTATAGAAGATCACGTATGGAGATAGTCTGAAATCATGAACGAATTACATGTTTGAAAAACATGATTCGGGGGGGGGGGGGGAATGTGTTGAAGAAGGTTAAAAAAAAAAAACGACACAGGATAATGAAGTGAACCGAGAGTATGACGTCATTCAGCGACTTGAAGTGCGACCGGGAAGTCGGTTAAGCCGGTACCGTACTTAGATGAGCAGTTCGTTGAGCGCCTTGTCCGAGTCGGACGCGATCGATATGGAAACGGTGGGCAACTGGAACCGTTTGATGTGCTGCTGCTGGACACCATTGACGTTGCCGTCGCCGCTGCCGCCACCGATGACGACACTATCGCCGCCGCCGCCACTGACGACGCCACCACTGACGACGCCGACGCCGGTGCAGACGTCGGTGCAGACGCCCGCGACGCAGACACCGGTGCACACGCCGCCGCCGCGCGACAGCGGCAGGGAGAACTGCTGGCAGTTGGCCCAGCTGCTGTAGTCGTCGTACTTGGGCAAGTAGTCCGCACTCCGGGCCTTCCGTATCGGCCGCACCGATATGCCGTGCCGGACGTGCGCGTCCTGGTAAATGGGACTGATGTAGATGGCCGAGTTCACCCGGGACCGGGAACGCAACAGGTTCCGGACGCGCCAGTCCAGCGGGTCGGCTAGGCCGCAGCGCATCAAGTGCCTCTGGAAACAACAAGCAAATACATCCGATCAAATGTGTTTGCGGACCATTAATGGTACACCGGCGCATATTTCCGTACGCGCGTTCGGTCCCACGACATTTGTGTGAACGAGTTGACCGATCGTTCATAACATTACGTTTATGTCGATGGCAGACTGAACGGTCACCGTGACATATCGTAAAAGAGAAGAAAAAAATAATAATGAACACGGACGACAAACGGTACGCGCAAATCATTACACGATTTAGTTATTTTCAAATTCACTGGACCCGAAAAACAAAACAAATTCACATAGAAAATTCGTTTCTTCATCGGCTTACAACCGATAAGCAGGATATTCAACGGATAGTGAGTGGATCGAGTGGCGGTAGCGCGTGTGCGTCTTAAGGAGACAACGTGGGCTGCAGTGGCGTACGTACATTTAACGGGTGTCTAACGTCTACGTCAACGCGTTTTGGTTCGAAGCCATACGGTTCGGTTCCAAACTTACGTTACCGAGTTACAAACATTATTAACGGATTGTAATTTTATTTCGCCGCGAGTTACTTTTTTTCCTTTTTTTTTTTTTCGTTAAGTACAGCTCAACGAGTATTACACCTCCCTTGGCTCGCTCAACAAAACTCAGTAGTAGTGCGATGGGAAATTTGAGCGTAAATTTAAAAAGAATCAACGTTAAACCGATATTTATTTGTTACTTTGTTCTACGAGAAACTGAACGAATCGATCGACTTACAAAATGTATTTAAATTTCATAATCGAAATCGAAAAATTCGTCCAGCTCCATTTCCGTTTGCAACTGAACCAATTCAGTTTCGACGGGTATTCCGATTCCGAGTTTATCCTGATATTATTGACCATCCGATTTGTTGGCTTTGTTATTGTAGCGTTTCAAATGTTCGTTATTACAGCATCGTAAGCAGTCTGCTAGAACCAAACGATGGACGTACAGCGTGTGTTTTCAAAAATAAATTATTTTCAATAGAGTAAGATTTTATTGTATTCAACTACAATAATACATATAAATATTATGAGTTAAGTAACAATAAAACAAAAAAAAAAAAAACATTTTAATTGGATTCTGGCTAATTAAATAGTATACTCGTATTGAAATGTTTAGTTAATATTCCGTAAAATTTAAATTTCATTTCAAGGAGTTTATAATTGTGTGAGTTAATAAATAACAAATATCGATATTTTGTCACATTTAATGTGATTTGATTATTTTGGTTTATCAAGAAATATTATTGGACTAGAAAAAGCAAACCGTAAATGTGTAATGTTGTGTAATTAAATTCGATAAATATTTCTTAAATTTTTATTTGAGAATAAATTGTAATTACAAAAATAGGCACCTCTTGTTATTAATATAAGTTATAGCTAAATTTTGATTTATTCAGTATTGTAATTCGTTATAAAACTTGTAATACACAATTTTTTTTATTTAATTAATTTTACTCAAAATATTTATCTTTTTGATGTTGACGACTAATGTGTACTGTAGTATATTGTTATGCGTCAAAATAATATAAATTAAAAAAATATATTTCGGTTAAATTTTTTGACCACCTATTAATATACGAGTATAATGTAAAACTTATAAAACAATGCGTCCAAAGTAAAATAAATGTTTACCTATTATATGTATTTTCATTTAATTTTTTTATAAGCTCAATCGATCAAACTATGCATCGTTTTATTTTACATTTTTTTTATTTCTTGATAATATTTTTAGACTACTTTTTCATCATGTGTCCGAATATATTTCTTATTGAAATTATAAAAGTATGTATGCCACTTTTAAAGTATAATTAATATTATTGTTTTGTTGTTATTCGTAGTAGCCGTAGCAACCGGATACTTTTTATAAACATTTATTTAACTATATTAAAAATAATATTATAGCTATTCGCCGTTACGGTTTTTTGTACTACACGCTGACGGTAGGTCATTCTATTTTTCAATTTTATTATTTTTTCGATTTTATCCGAAGTACATTGATGTAATCTTAGTTTCAATCAACCTTCAACACATCTACTATAGATTATACTTTACAGTGTAATATATATTTATATTGTGTGTGCCGTGTACAAACATAAATTATTCATTGGTTTTTTCAATTTGGGAAAAAGTCGACGAGAGAAATTTGTAAGGCGTTTTTTAGCAGGTGGTTTTCTAGAGAGGTTTACATCGCTAACAAAATTCAAACCCACAAAGTGTTTTAAAAATACTCTACATAGAATGAAAACATCGAAATCCGTAGGTAAAACCATGCTAAAAAGTAAATAAAGTCGAGAAAGTAGTCGGGGAAGAATCAACTTTCCATTATCATAATTATTCGAGCTTGAAAAACAATTCATCGTCCAAGTTGAAACAACAATGTTCTGATCGGAAACCGTACAAGATAAATAATTGTGATGTTTTACGTCAAGCACCCAAACAAGGTCAGTCGAAGTTATCGATTCCGGTTCGATTTGTTTACTCATCGTGTTATCGCCGTAAAACGTAAAACGTCGCGAACCGATGGCTTCGAGTACAACGCCAGGAACACTGGCACCCTGACTGAGCGGACAACTAGAGCGTTGATTAAATTTGTTGTGAAAACGATATATGAATACTGAAAAAACGATGCGTTAACGGCAGGGGTGTATTTTGACTTACTTCTAGGGGGGGGGGCACTCTTTTTCTTTAATTCAGTATCAAAATTTACAAGTAAAATGTTTGGTAATATTTAAATCAGGTGAATCCTTAATATTTGTGTTTTTTTTTTTTTTTAATCTAATGCCGGATTCATTTAGAATCGAAGTTTGTGTAGTTTTTTTTAAACACAGTTCTCTGTGTTTAGAAAGTTACGCTTGTGTTTTATTTGATTTTTTACTAAGTATGGACTCGACAAAAAGCCCAATCCAGTATTCACAGACACGCATAATTTGATCTCGTTATAAAATTATTCACAATAAAAAAATTTGAAATTTGTATCTCACATATAATCTTAAATACGGATTCAGGGGGGGGAATCGCCTTCTTGACACCCTCTAAAATACGCCCCTGTTTAACGGTGGTATTCATAATCAGCGAAATTGCGTGATACAATATAATTGTCGTTTAGGTCAGGTACAGGATTCGACAGCGCGTTCGAGAACGTTTCGGCTTCAGTGCGTCTCGTCTCCGGACGGGACGAGCGCTTCGCCCGTGCAACAACGTCTAAACTTCGAGAGCGCAGTACCGCTGGCCGACGGTTTTCGTGCTCAAAACACGCAGCGTAAATGTCGTCGTTTCGTCGGTCAAAGTTTCGCCGGAACGTCTCTCCAGTCGTCTTCGCACGGTTCTTTAGCAGACGACGGCAGGTGCGACCGTGCTCACAAATCGTCCAAGGGAAAAGTTAAATATGTTTGTTATGTAAAAAGTCTATATATATATAAAAAAAAAAAAAAAAAAAAAAAATACACGTTGGAATATCCATGATCAAAAATATTACGATCGAAAGTCAATAAATGTCTTAACAGCTTGAGCAGCTGACTTGTCAGTGAATATGCGTTCTATCGATGGCTGCATATAATGCCCGTAAATTAAATAGAAAAAATGCGTCAAATCGAGAAAGATGACACTGTTAAAACAAAAACAGACAACTATATATGAATTTTCTATATACAAAATTTGGTTTAATTTTTATTGAATGAGGAATAGTAAAAATGTGTGTAAAAAGATCTTCAATGGGGGTGGGGAGTTAGACCTTGCGTACGAGCCCGAATGATGGAAATGCGACCAAGGGACGTCGCGCCTAACGCGTTTCTGCAACGGTAATAACAATAATGCGCGTACATCTGCCCGTGATTGCGTACTAAATTTAATCGCGGGAATCGTACAACCGGATAATAAATACCGTTGGGTCACACCGCGCGCAGTCGTTAGACGTGTGACGTGCGGTGACCGTCATTAATTGTTATTTAAATAACAGCCAAGTACTGTTATTCTGTGGTTTTGCGCGAGACCGAAAAATATTGTTATATTATTACAAAATAAAAAAAAAATCAAAAAAAATCACAACATACGTCTAAAAATGGAAGATAAAAAAAAAGATACGTGCTTTAATCGTATTTCGCGTGTACCGTAAAATCTGTTGGTTAAAAGAGTAATATTTTACGATTTCGTAAAATGTTTAGATGAAGTCGAATATATAAAGTCGAACGAGACGAAATTGCGTCTTAAACTATTTTTTAAAAATTTTATTCATTTTTTTTTCTTTTATCGTCTCTCATAGGTTTTACAATACACGCGAGTGTCTAAATGCACAAAAATCAAAAAAAAAAAAAAAAAAACAATAAATTATTTAAACACAATAATTATTATAATTATATAATTATCGAAACCGCAAATTTTGTGCCTGTTTTTTTGTCTGCTTTTCTTCCACTATTTCACACACACACACACTCTTTTTTGCGGGTTTATAATATTCGTTGTCTTGGTGAATTTACCATGATGTGTCGTTTACTTCACGGTTATTCGGACGACGGCGCTCTATGCAGCAAAGCGAACCGACACGTGCAGTCCCTGGGATGTACTTCGGGTGATGGAGGTGAGTATTTGAAACAATGGTCCAAGATGCAGCAACCGCTCTGCTGTTGTATGGAAAATAAAACAGAAAAAACACACGGGAAAAATAAGCAAACTTATTCTAAAAGGGCCATGCGAGATAAAACCGGCAACGGGGTACAGATATAAAGATATAAAATGTATCAGTAGGTACAAAATCATGCACATTCAATGACACAATTTTTGAAAATCTTCCACGATCCACTTCATATCCCACGTGTAAGATACAACTGATATTAAAAATTTATATTATTATATTATATTATTATTATTGTTACATTAAATTATATTGCATTATTATTGTACCTGTTATTACTAACGTGCGATCACGTGGAATGCATATGTTGAATATAGTGTCCAATGGCACCAGGTAAACCGATCGGAGTCGCGAATCTGATTTTATAGGTAAACATTTTTATCAAATTTGGAAATTGTTGAAACGCATTTCCTTTTTTTTTTTATTTACCTCATGAGAAGGTTTGAGATGTATAGCATAGATTAAAATCGAAACAAACTGAAAGGGTTGAAAATTATTTGTACAAAAAACGGTTGGAGGGCATTGTACGTTGCCGTACGCATGCACGTATACATTAAATATGTACGGTACACGGAAAACAAATAAATAACACACACACATGTGACAGAATTATTTTGTGACATGAAATCCGTTCCGGTCGTTATTTTCAATATTTTTATTAGAAATTTAATAGCGAACTATTATTACGGACCTCGATCGAAGACATTTCCAGAGAAATATCTGAAAACCGACCGCCGTCGTAGGTTCGGAAACATAATACGAGCTTAATATTGTATTCCATTCCACAACGGTCGATTGATTAACTGTTTCATATTGTTGGCGAAGATTAATTAAATATAATATTTATTTATTTTTTCGGAAAGAGGGCTGCTTCCTCATTGTTTAGGTTATTGTGACCAACAATATTAATAAGCACCTGTATTCTTCGGAACGTTTTCAACCCTTGTCGTTGCTGCAGTGTTGTTATGACATCTGGACATAGGATATTTTTACCGTCATAGTCGTCGTGAAAAGTGCCAAGGTCGCTATCACGGAATAATATCGATCATATACAGTCGAAGTTTGTGTACACGGTTGAATATATTTATATTTATAAAAATGTCGTCGTCACCGCTGTGTGTGTGCCTTAATATCCAAAGCTTGTTATGACACTAACAAGGGACAAAGGATAACATCGGTAAAAATAGCCTGTATAAACCAAGTGAAATTATTTTGCACCCGGCGGTGTGAGGGTAATCGAAGTCGGTGAAAAACGACTACGGGTTCGAAAAGTTGAACATCATTTTATTCGTGTCAGTTCTAAGTATAACTCTGTGAGTTAGTTCTTGGAGTTCCAGTGAAAGTGAGTCCGCTTATAAGTGACATAATATGCAGTATCGTAGTCATTTGATTGCAGATATAGGCTGTATTAATTTTGAACATTCTAACTTTTTTATTATTGTGAAAGTTAAATTTGACGAAAATGTTTCATGATCACTCATTGTCAACAATATTTATTATTAATACAGTATTATGTTGAAACTGATATAAATTTAAAATTATAAAGACTTCTAATCGATTTTGATATTTACTTTAATACTTATTAATTTAAGACTTTTGTTATTTTTAAGTTTTGAAAAAAAAATCGAATTCTTTTCTAAGAAACATATGTCTTAAACCATTTAAATAATTTGTTCATAACAAACTTTTTTCTTATTTTTAAATTTAAAATTATATATATCTATCGTGAATTCAAAATCGGTTGTTTTTCCAATTACATATCATTGTTTATATGAAAAAATATTAATCATTTAATTGGGTTTTGAGTTGAAATATGACAATTTATAAATAATTAAAAATGCAATTACATAAAAATGTATTAGAAATTATGCGTAAATTTAGTGAATTCACCAGTTATTTAATTTAATACTAAATATTTCTTCATTCATTTAAATTCAATCACGGGTTTTCATATTTAATGTAACTCATTATTTTAAAACTTTGAAAGTCGTAAAATTACACATTTATAAAACAATCAGCTCGATTAAGCGCAATGGGACGTATATACATTTTTTTAATTATTATATTTTAATAAAATATAGTTTTTATCCAATTAATAAAATAATGTTTTTGGGTTATACGAGTAAGATAATTTTTATTTTTTTTAAATTTCAAAAGATTTTACATTTTATTACTTTTTTGAAGATCGTTTACAAGTAAATTTATTTTAAGTTTGATGTTTGTATAACTTTTTTTTCGTATAAATAATATTTATGTTGGTATTTTTTTATTCAGAACGAATCATGCAGATAAAAACAGCGAAAACTATATTATTCAGTGTTCATTGTACAACGTAAAAGTAGTTTGAAGCTTATTTAGTGCAATGCAATGAGAACATTATGATATTTTCTTATTTATTTCGAAGTCAAGTCACACGATATTGAATGTCGTTTGTTTTATATACAGTTGACGTAAATCAGTTTTTTATATTTCACACAGTAATTCGAATATTTTATCTGGGCGGAGGTTTTCTTTCCGGCTACGTGGCATCCGATAATTTCACTCCATTTCTCATTACACGTACGAGACTATGAATGGCGGTAGTAGCGTAGTGACGTAGGACGATGATGTGTACTTATAATATGTATTCCTTTTCAGAAATTATAATAAGGTTAGTTGTACTGATAAAATATTGTGAATCCCGGTCGGTCTCTCTGGTGACTAATGGTTATATCCAACAAAATATTATTATACAATATGCATTACACGCTGTACATTATGTTGATATTCAGTTCTCGTATTAGATTTCGGAGTCATCGTGTTTGGGTTGATAAATTGAAAATAAAAAAGAAAAATAAACGAAGAATATAAATAACAAAAAAAAAAAAAAATCAAAGAAAAGAAAATTTTAAAATCACATATTCCACGTGCACCACTCATTTTTTTTAAATAGCATTAATTATTAAAAAAAAAAATAATAATAATAATAAACATTATATTATAAATATTTTTCAACTTCGTACATACCTGTGAACAACAAAAACCCGGACCGGTTGGGTTTTGGCATGTTACAGTCGTATTACACGCCCCAGTTCCGGGTACTTTAAGCTGCGTGTCCTTGTAGTCCGGCTGATATGGTATAAGCATTCTTATTTTACCCCATCGGTTGAAAAACATTATTATAGCGCCAACCCACACCATTAGGACCAGCACTACAATTGTGATTTCAATACCCCGTACCTAAACGTAAGCGTGCGCAAGAAAGATTAGAATTTATTACGTTCTGAACAATAATATATTTATATGTAAATAATAAAAATATATTTATTTATGTACTGTCCATAATACAAAAATTTAAAATCAATAATTATGTTTAATGATACAATTCTCATCGTATAAGTACACAAAATAAAGGATTTTTATTTTGAAACAATTTTTTTTTCTTCTATACTTATTTGTGCATATTTTTATACTCGATTACACATTCTCTTTTTTTCGTATCAATAGATTTTATGAATGATGGTGAAAATATATAAATTGGTAATTATTAATTTATTTTATTTCCATTTTTTCAAAGATACCGTTGGTAATTGGGCGTGGATATAAAGCGGATTATTTAGGTTGAAGCCCCTCCACTTAGGCCTTAGATACTTAAAATATTTCAAAGTACTTTGATTTTCAATGTATTAATTAAAGTAAAGAAGAGCAATACTTATAACATAATGTATTGTATTGCTTATTGACATTTAAGAGTGATTTATAATAGTGATTATTTATATATTCTTCATTAAATATGCCTTATTAACCTAGGCATAATAAGTTGGTGATTAGTCCCTCAAATATTTACCTATTCTTCATATAATAGATACAGAAACAATTTAAAAATAATTGTAATTTATTAAAGTGATATCAAAAAATAAAAAATTAGCTCTCTCAAAAATAAAATCATAATTGCACCTATAGTCATAAATAGTCCTAACCTAGGAGGATAAAAACAGAGAATTGGTCAAATCAATTTACTAATAATATGTGATATTTTTTTCAACTAATAAATATTTTACACTCTTGCCTATGTTATTATTCTTATTTAATATGTGATAAATGGTAATTTTATTATTCAAGTTTTTTTTTATTATTTTATAATATGCATGTTTGATTATTATTTTATTCACTTTAAAAACTTAAACTTAATGCCTATGATTTTATGTACTTGAAGAAAAATTTTTTATTTCTAGATCCACGCCTGTTGGCAGTTACTTTAAGCAAATAGTTTTCTGTTTAATTAATTTAGTTTTATAATTTATATTATGATTGTAGAAGCAAAACATACATAATACTATTGATTGGGTTTACAATTTATCTATTTTATTTAAAATATCACTCGGTAATTCTTATTTATTCTGAAAATATTGAATGATTAAATACATTGAGTTGAGTATTTCGATTTTAATTTTGTGCACTTAAAAGATTCATCTAGAGATTAGATTACAAATGTGTGTTCTGTCATAAAATGCGATATTTGGAATATTGTATTTAAATGAATATATCAAATTTTGTAGTTAAATCTCAGTATAGATACCTCAAATATAAATTCATAAGAAGCATTTTCATTTACACATGTAAATATAATTAGTTTTTAATATTTAATTAATTATTAAATATATATATTATACCTATAGTTAATTTAATAGAAAAAAAAATTAGTTTTAAAAATTTAATTAAGAAGAAACCTATAATCTAATAACATTTAATATAAGAATATGTGTATGAGAACGTGATCTTAATGTGATACGTAGAAAATAATTTTCATTATTTGTTATTTATACCAAATATTTTTGTAGTTTTATTGTTTTATCACCTGTACATCCGGAGAGGAAGTACTTCCTTCTGAAGGCATCGAATGTCCAGCACCACCTACAACATCTGGCGGTGAAATATCTATGTCACCACTAGTATTCATTTGGGAATGTTGGGTATCTGGCCACGACACACCTTTATCTGAAAACAAAATCAATTGAATAAAAACATAGTTGTTTAGTTGTTTAGAATTTGAGGTTATAAATCTATAATTTAATGATGAAAATTTTATTAAAAATTAACTGTTAGTATAGGTAGCATTACTTTATAAGTAATAACTTGTTATTAAAATATATATATATAAACATTAAAATTAGTGTTCTCACGAACTTATTTTACTTGATGAATTTTGATACCAAGGAGCCTTAAAGCTCTTTTTTAGCGTCATAAAAGATCCAAATTGATAAATATATTTCAATTGGTGGTGTATTTTATTCTAAAATTCGTTGAATACAAGTATATTTGTGGAGTTCCTAGATAGTTCTTAACGAGAGTCTCGCAGAGAACATTTTGAAAACGATAATGTAATTATATTATTTTTAATATTAATAATATATTAACAATAATATGTAGAATACATATGAAAATTATTGGTGTAGATTTTATAAGATAAAAATATTTTTTGATAATTTTTAACAAGTCAAAGTGCAATTTTGTAATATTGAATAAATGCTGAGCTCAATAGTATGGTCTTTCGAAATGATTTAATTAAGTTTCGTAAAGAGATTGACTGGAGAATTACTGACTGATAGTGGAATGTACTGTGAAACTACAGTTTATAGTGTTGAAGTTAAGTTTTTACTTTGTTATCGAATTATAAAATAAAAGATGAGTAACAAAGGGGTGTTTTAAAACAATTTTTCATATTTTGCCAAGTGTTCCTACTGAGTGTTTATTTAGTAGTTATAAAATACAAAACTATAAAATTCTTCTTGACCCGACCCGATAAGATAAAAATAAAGTTTTTCAAAACAGTTAGCTGATGAATATCGTTTAAAATTTTAATATAATATATAATATTATATTTATATATGTTAATATATATATAATATTATATTTATATATGTTAATATATGTTATTATATGTTTATATTATAATACTATTTCAATCTTATCTTGTTCTATTTTTGTCATTTATTACAATTGTTTCTATGTTACATGCTAATAATTTGTATTTTTCACTATTTTATCAATATTACACCATAATTGTAATCTGGGCCCATGCCCATTAATCTTTAATAAATTAAATGAAAAATTGTCAAGGAAAATTTATATTTTTTAAGCGAGCGAGGTATTTTTGAAATCATATTTATTATATAAATAAATAATGGATGACACAATTGTAATAAAACTTAACAATATGCCACTGTCATAACCCTAGGTGAGCAAATAAGTAAATGAAGACTATTTCTGAATTGACAGATGACTTAATTTATTTTTGTTTAATTTTATGTTTATAGTCTTTAAAATATTATAGTGAAATATTTTTAAATTGATAATGCTCATTCAATTCAATATTAAAAAAATATTTTTTAAATTGATGTATTCGTGTATAATCTATTTGTATACCATAGTATTCGTATTTGTACAACCCTTTTATACCAACCATTTGAAAATTCTGATACATTTATATTAATTTACGATAAAAGTTTTATAAAATTAAAAGTAGATATTATTCTTATTTACAAGTAATCGATATTGAAAAATGTACACTACCACTCATTGTATTTTATATAGCCCGTTAAAAGTATAACTCTGTATACTATTATTGCTATTAATAATTTAGAGGTCTACTTACCGAGCGTCTTGAATATAACTGGTCTGCTTCGGAATCTGCGACCGGCTTTGAACGCTGTTACGGTCACTTGGTATTGTGTGTTAGGCATCAAGTTACCGAGTGTCACGGAATCGGAGTTGACCGCTATTTCCGCCACTACCCTGTAACTGACCAATGGCGGAAAACACCCACTCAAGTACACACATCGTTACATATTTAATCGCAATATCTGACTGGTGGTTGGTTCATGGTGTCACACTGGTACGTAAACACGTCTATATGTTATACGTGTCGTGACCTAGTGGTAACAGGAAAGACTTAGGTATTCGATAAAATTGTGTTGTGCACGCTCGTCAAATTGGGAAAAGCTAAACATTTATAACATTTAATTGTAATGGAAATTCATAACAGTTTACGATGATATTTTTAAAATACATTATTATTATTATTATTATTATTACTAATATTATTATTATATTGATTATTACATTTTTAAAGTGGTACAGAGATTCAAGAAGTTTAGGAAAATCAGAAAACAATAATTTACTTTTTTTTTAATCGCGGTGAATTACTGTTAATTTTTTTTCTGTTGAAAGATATGATTTGAAAATCCTTATTCTGACTATTTTGAACATAAGCTCATAACATACTCGAGTTCAATTCAATAATAAAAACTTGAAAATAATTATTAATATTTTTTTGTAAGTAATTAATCATCAACTAGATACATAGTTTTAGGAATTTAATGTGATAATGATTTTCTCAAGCGTTTGGAAAAATACATATATTAATACAATTACTATAAATTAGTTAGATTGTACAGTTGTATACAACTTTCATACTATAAACGTTACTGTATTTTTCATATTTATACGACAAAACCACTATTAAATGAAATTCTGACCATCTGGTATATTTTACTTTCGGATCTCGAGATACCACTTGTTCGAGTACGAGGTAAAATTTATTAAAAATGTTTATTATTTGTTAATATATCATAATTCTTGTAAGTGAAATTTCATTAGGAGATATGTTTAGTGGTCTTTAAAAATATCGAGTCACCACTTTTGAGGTTCAAAAGAAATCATTAAATTGTGTTTGCTAAATTCGTAAATTCTACTAAAATTCTACAATTATAAATTATATGGAAGATTTAAAACTGTTAATAATAAATTACAAACTATTGTAGTTGTTATATAATACTTGATTAAATTGATTAAATTTATACAGAATTTGATACGTTAATTTGAAATTGTATATAATTCAGTATGAAATAACAGAAATATATTTTTCTAGTTTCACATTAGTTCAGAACGCCGGGAATTGTTTTATTGGTGTAATTAATGACGTTTTTCATTTTATGAGTACAGTTGAAGACTTTTTATTTTGTAAAAGTTTTGTCATTAATAAAATACTATTTTTGAGCTTATTTTGTGCAATAACTAACTTAGATTACTTTATAGTTGCTACTGAAAATATAAGTTTAAATTCACATTGAAAACAGTTACAACATTTTTAGAACAAAAAATTTCTTTTTACTTTTTAAATTACTCAAATAATATATGTCTCAATATTAATAAATTAATAATGTTTAGAAGAAAATGTTGTCTTAATGGTGAGAAAAAAGTTAGATTTTACTTCAAGACATTAAAAGATAAATTAACTAATTTTTAATGAGTTTTCGTATTATGGCCTGTAGTCATTTAAAGTTCACAATTTATGTTTACGCTTGAAAACATATCTCTCTTTTTTAAACTTTGGATAAACATTGTTTATTCTATATGTAAGTATACCATAAATATGGTATGTAAAGTAAGGTTTCCAGTTATTTGAAATCCCCTCGAATATTTCAGAAAATTATCCTTTACGAGTATCTGGTAATATTTTTTTCTTAGACAAGTGGAAATTCTTTTTAGTAAAATGCATGCCGATATATTTCGACAAGATAAGATAAATTTGTCTTGAATAAAAATTTAGAAATAAGTTCAGACAGAATTCACTAAAATTTACTTAGGTATCTCATGTAAAACTATATTCCACTCGCTTGAATTTTTAAATAATTTATTCACTCGTTCATATACGATTTTTCTACATAGAAAAATATCCTTCAAATAATATATTAAAATAAACATACAAATATTTGTTGTCTTTTGTAAGTAGTAAATAATTAATAACTATTCCAATTAAAAATAGGGAAAAACATAATAAGTTTATTGTAATAGTTGGGTTTAGTTATACTTGTATCGAATCTAACTTTTTAAAAATCATGAGTTGATAAAAATAATGAAAGTATGATACTGAGAAAAAATATTTTGTTAAGTACTTTAAGATTAGTGTTAACGTAAAAAAACGAATGGTAATATTTATGAAAATACAGCTATAATCGTAAGAAAATCAATAAAATGTTAGTTTTTAAATTTGTATTACTGTCGAACAACGTAAAATATTTTTCCAACAGGAAGTATCTAATTTCTATTTTGTTTTATTTTTTCATTTTAACATCGTTATATATTATTTTACGCGTGACAAAATATTATTTTTTCGGCTTAACTCAATATTGTATTCGAACATTGGACTCGGATGATTTATGTTATGTGAGTTCCACCTAGCCCTAATTAGAATTTAGACTATTGTTATTAGAAAAATGAAATAAAAATACGTAGTGTAAATCATACTGAAGAAAAAAATGTGTTTTTTAAAATTAAATTATAAAATTTTGAATAAATTATGATATTTGTATAAGTATGCATCTGATTTAAGAACAATAATATTTTAAGTGAGTAATATAAAATTATGACTTCAGTATTATATTCAATGTAATGATTCATTACTAATGAACAATCAATAATCTATTTTTTATTATTTACTGAATAGAGTTTCAATTTTCCGTATTCTATAATGAAAATTAAATGAAGAAAATTTCGTTGTAAAGAACAAGGCTTTTTTGAAATTTAAATTGTTAATTTTAAATTTTCCATTTACTCTTTGAATGAATAAAGTAAGGTAAAACTTAAGAATGATTTTTAGTCTTATTATAATTTACTATTATCGATAATTTTGTAATTCAATAAATTAAATCCCAGTAATCTAATATTTTTGAGCCAAAAATGATACGATACGTGATAAAATTAATAGACTGATATGTAAGCACTGATAGTTTATCAAAGCACAGATAATAATCGTAATACTCGTATTTAAAAAATTTCTATATGTTAGTTTATTTTTAATAGTAACTGTATATTTTGAAATTAATGGAGAGTTTATTATAAAATATAAAATTAACTCTAACTTATTAATGAACACAAATGTACATTTTCAGTAGCTGGAATAAAAAATAATCTAATAAATATAATAGATAATTACATTTTTTAACCAAATTATTAATTGTTTAGCATAAACCACTAATTAAATTTAATATTTGATTTTATGAATAAAAACTATGACGAAATCCGTTCAAAATAAAAATGATAATATATTGATTAATTAATTTGAAAGTTATATCTTAAAATTTTCGGTATAATATTAATATGTTAAAATAATTAAACATAATATACTTATTGAAGATTTTTTTTTCGATTAATCCTTTTTTATTTTTCTATGGGTCACATAACGTACTATCTTAACATTATTTTTGATCTCGGACCTTAACTACCTGTCTTTGAACAATTTATTTTATAAATATAAATAGTTTCTAATCCAAATGATGCTTCGATAGTTTTCAATTAAACTAGAAAATACAATCAAGCTGATAGTATAGCAATGGCATCTAAACTATAGCGATAGAGTAATGCCACGAACTGATACTGTATTGATTCCGATGCATGGGTATCACCCGATTATACGATGAAATGCAATCATTAGGTTTTACATTTAATGTCTAAATAGAAAAAAATATTTTTTTTGCATTGTCTTAACGTTTTTATTTATTTTGGAGGTAATTGGCCATTGGAACAATTTGTCTGAGTCTGACACATTTATATATTTATAAATAAATAAATAAATAATTAATCCACCCGATCAGAAAAAAATCATTTAGTATAATATATTTTATAAAATAAATTATTTTGATTTTGGAGGAAACAAATTTGCATATAATATTGTGTACAATTGTTATCTATAACAATAATACGGCATATAAATTATTAAAAATAGCACTATTGGTTTCTTTTATCAACCTAGAAATATAAAATAATAATGATGAAATTTTCGATCATTACGTTTTCAAATTCGCAAATGTTATCAAAAACACAATACTTTTCAATATTCTTACAAATGTATAATACTTTTTTTATTTTTATACTTTGATTTGAGACATGCATAATTTGATTTTTTTGCATTGAATTTTGGGTGTAAGAAAATTTTTTTTATGATTGTAATGATTGTTTATCATTTGTTTGTAAAAGACGGCACAAATATTTTATAATAATGTATACTATTCGTATGTACGTGATTTCAAACCATTTTAAATAAATAAATAACGGCTCCTTCGATACCCGCACGAATAACACAAATCGAACAATAAAGACTAATCTTCAAAGGACCGCCTAAGGTCCATGCCAACATACGTCCTTATATAACAGGGACACGCTTTTCTCCCCGAAGATTCTTGATCTTAGGTCATCAGTATATGAGCACCGATCGTAAGATCAACGAAGCAATTCCCTATCTTTGGTCATCTGTGCATGCGCACCGATCATAAGATTAACGAGAGAAGTTATACGTGCGATTTCTTGACTTGTAATTTTCATCCGTTCGACTTGTGTTCTCCGTACGAGTGTTGAAGAGTATCCGGCTCCAGTGCATTAAATCCTGCATTTGTTCTTTTTTTCAACCTCGCATCGATATCTGAAGGTCTACGGAAAACAAGTAAGTGCTGCTTTATTTTGCTTGGCAGACTGTACGGCTCTTGAACCTTTACAACCCTGAGAGCTCTCCCTTAAATAAGAAGGAAGGTAACAACCCTTTAAGACATCATAAAAACCTACATTTACATATCACACCACCATTTATATATATATCACTCTCTCACTTTTATTTTACTTTATATTTTTGGGTTATTACAGTAGTTTAAAAATGTATTAATAATTTAGTCATCAATAATTTTGACCTAAATTTTTAGATATTTTTCATAAAATAAATAAATAATTTTATGTGTTATTAAAACTGAAGAGTAAATATAGTTATAATTATTTTTGGTAGTTAATAAGAAGTTATTATTTTGAACCTAGTTGAAATAGTATTGAATAAATATTGAACGGTGCGAAATAACGATAGTTGAAAGTGGTTATTTTAAAGAAGTCATACTATTTATATACTGATTGTAGTTATGTGAAGTTTTCATACTGCAAATTATACTAATTAATACTATAAAAATAGAGTTTAACTAAATAGTAATAATTCTTGTGTGAATATTTTTATAATTTTACCTGGCGTTAGTCGGTTTGTACATGACGTCATATTTTTCAATACCTCTTGGTGATATTTTCCACGATACTTTGATAGTAGTTGGGTTTATAAACATGATGTTGATGTCGCCAGGAGCTTGGTCGACAGCAAAACACCCTGCGGATACAAATATATTCTGTTATTTTATGAATGGTTAAACTGCTGTGGTATTTAAATAACTGAATAAATAACTATAAAACTAAAATGAGTATGAGAAAAATTTATATGTAAGCAAGTTTACACTTGTAAATTATATATATATATATTGATGATTATTTTTAAAAATAGGTGATTTTATTAGTGAGAAAGAATCAAAGAAAAATATCTACATTTTTTTCATTGATAATGTTTAAAGTGTAAACGGCATACCGGGCTATTTGTCAAATTAATTTTTTTTATATAATTTTATAATTAATTATAGATTGGGAAAGGGTAAAAATAGAAGCATTCCTAGAATTAAGCGAGGTTACTTACAAACAAGAGCGTCCATCTTCAGAAATCTAGGAGGGGATATAGTGTCTTATAATAAAATTTACCTTCATATTAAATTGTCATAGGTCAAGTTATATATACATTAATATTATTTTATTAAGTACATGCATTGTTGTTAAACCTATAAAATTATTATTTATAAAATAGATATATAAAATTAAATTTTATAAAAAATGAAAATATATAAAATGATAATTAATACAATTTTAAAAATATAATTTAAACATTGTGCTTTGTTATTTAAAAATAATTAAATAATTAATTTACTAAATTAACTAAAACAATAGTTCCAAATCGCGTTTATTTTTGGAAAATCCATTAATGACATTGTCAACTAAATTCATATCATGAATTTACACGTATAAATATAAAATTAGGACACAGCGTTTTCACTACATGGTCTTAATATTTAAAGTTCCAAAAAGCCAGGGGGGCATGTTCCCCAATGGACGCACATGCTTACAAATCAATTTTATAAAAATTCAAGACAGTTAATACTTTCATTCATGGTTTTACGAAGAAAAATAACATTATGATCTAATTGCCTAATTTTAAATGATTTTAAATCTACAAGATTTTTATGACATCAATCTTGGTTTTGTATGCATAGAAACGTAGACAACTTCACTGCATTTTTTCTATCAATTCGTATTAGATTCGGTTTGCAGCATCGAATTATTATCATATTATATTGATTTTAATACTAATTTAGATGTATCAGAAGCAAAAATGATACGTGACAGAAATTGATATATCGAGAATAACATAAGCCGGTATACTTATTAATGACCGCACGGGTAATATTCATCAATACGTGACCGACCGAAAACTAATTAAGCCACAGGTTGCAGATTTCGTATTCAATTCACCCCAATTGTTTTTTTTTCTTTGGCGAGATATAATTTTTTTTCCTCCCATCCTAATACAGAAATTAAAACTACAATATTAACAAAACTTCATTTTCTTTGTTGTCGCAATTTTAATGAATAACCATAAAGATTTTATTATATTTATTATATATATACAGTCAGCTCGCGATATAACGAATTTTAAGGGACCGGGCAAAAAGTACGTTCTATCGAAAGTTCGTTAAATCGAAATTCATTATACCAAAAGGATAAATCAACAAAATTTGTTTAAACGATATTTAAAAGAAAATGTAGATTTTATTAAATTTTTATAATTACATACCTACATACAATATTAGATTATTATTAAATATTTTATTAGATACATTCATACATTTTTGTTTATTACATACATACTTCTTCTTTTTTTTTTTTTTTGTGTGTATCCACTTGCGCTTACGCGATTATTGTGTGCTGGTATGCCACTGCCTCTAAATGGTTGAGTTCAGCAGTGTGGCTTCGTTGTCACACATGTAAGTTCGCAATTTCAGACGGATAACGAAGGAAATGAGGGTTTAGGTATAAAGCGATTAAAGCATAAGTAGTGACATTAATTTAGTATTTGTTTTATTTAAATGAGTCGCGTAAAAATATACAATTATAATAGAAACATCTGCGCGTAAGACTGGTGTTCGAACGATTGACTCCACTCTACTGGGTGGTATCAGTTGTCCATTTAAACAAGCTTATTCAGCGTTTAGCCCCACATATAATACATACAGTGTTTATGTGTTTATAATATACGAGTATATGTTAAATTATATATAATTATATATGTTTACAATCTTGTTCTAATACAATGGGTTCGTAACAAATAGTGTTGTCCAAATTTAGAATATTATAAAATACACTGTCGTCAGTATCATGTCTTTGTAAAAAATTTAAAACGACGCAACGACCTAATTTTGCTACATTCGAGCTTACGGGGGCTCTTCGTCATCAGTTTTATTCAAAATCTCATCATTATTGAGAACTCCACAGATAACCAAATCTTTGTCGATAGCAACAAATTTATATTTATATTTAATACAATTTACATTTAACAGATGTGTATCATATAAACGATACATAAACATTATCTTATTGTATAATAATAGCCGAAACAAGACTCGTAAGACGTGAAGTATCAATCTCCAAAATTGTTAAAATTCGTTACATTGCGTGAACTTTGGTTAAAAAATCTTCGTTATATCAAGGAGACCAAAATACATTTAATTTTTCGTTATATCACGAGATTTTCAAGGGTCCGACAGTTTTATACGTTACATCGAGGTTTTTGTTATATCGAACATCGTTATACCGCGAGTTGACTGTATAATATAATGATTATTTGATAAAATAATAAATTAATTGTTTTAATTTTACAGTTATACAGTAATATTTACTATAGTTTATTATGCTATTATATGTATAAAATATATTATATAAACAATTAACATACCTGTATGATAAGAAAATCGAATTATTTATCGTGTGTTGATTAAAAAGTGAAGATGTTTTTTATATTTTATTTTTATAAAAGTTGATAATTAAATAAATTATAGCTTGATGACTGTGATGTTGTTTGAGAAGGATTGTTCTTCATTAGTGTTAACGAGTCGGATAGGAAGAACAAGAAAAAATAATTGAAGAAAACGAATTGCTAAATATATTATGTACACATTATTCGCTGTTAAATTAACTCTATTCTATATTTATATTAGTTGTATAATAGGTAAAATAGACTTGTAAATCTTGAAGTTTTTGCATGCAAATCTGAAATACTTTCAAATGTATGTTTTTACATTTTTTTTTTATTTATGTTACATTTCGAAGTGCCAATATTTATTCGGTTAATGTAGTTGGTTAAAAATTTAATAATGAACTACCTCAACGGACACATAATTAAACTCTATATCATGATAATTATCTATTGTATAATTAATATTGATAATATCAATGAAATAATTATCAATTATATTTATTTACTACATTACCTTTATTGTATGTGGGTAAGTGAGGTTAATCTAAAGTAATTTAAAAATAAAAAAATAGACAACAGAAATGTAACATTTCTTTAAGATTTTTTTTCAAGAGCCGAAAGAAATCTTAAGGCGGATTTTTTATATTTTTGAGATTAATCGATTAAATCCTGTAAAAGTTTATTTCAGAAAAAATCAATCGGTAGTTTAAATCTTAAATAAATGTTCACGATAAATTATTAGTATTGACGGGAAAAAACTAACTTTTTAATGTTTATGACAAATAAACTATATAATTATGGTTTTTAATTTCCTCATAATTTCAAATATCGTTAATGAATACTTAATATTGTTAGTAATATGATATTTATATAAATACTGTTCTGATATATACTGCGTGTACCTGTCTAAGACAGATACTTTATAACACTTAAACCTACATGAAAATTTGTACTAGATAATAAGCTTGTATAAAACGGAATGGTTTCTTGTCATGCGATTATGTTTAAGACACTTAACCTATTTGATTATTTCACATTATTTTTTGTCATTTTCATTTAAATTTCACTCCAATGCCATAGTTTGTTGTTTAGAACACTGAATAATATCTATTTCGTACTTATATGACTGTCCAATAATCAGTGGACGGGATATTACTGTTTTTTTGTAACGAAATAATGTTAGAGTTACTTTAAAAAATAGCTCGATATTTAATAGACATTCAGCTCAATGCTAATTATTTAAATTGTAACATGCTACATATTTGTGTATAATAATTTTCATTATTTTTTAAAGTCTACGTGTGCAACAAACATTTATGTGTTTTTAATTTTTTTTTAATAAGTTATCATTTATTTGATAAACGTAGAACAACATTATTCAAAATTAAACGAGTATGTATTTTCATAAAAACTAAAAAACTATTTTACTGAATTGTGAAAATAGGTAGGTCCACATCTAAGTAACAAAATTTTTAATAATTTTGAAAATTATAATCTGTAAAAATATTTAATCAGTAGTCACAAAAAATTTGAGATTGAATTGTTTTCGAATAGTGACAACTTTCGCAACGTCCATTTCAGCATGCTTTAGTATTTTACTACTTAGCGTGCATTCCAAGCTGTAACGACATTAGATAATCGCAACACAAATAAATTAGCCTACTACTGTGGCGCACTGTATAGTTAATGTGCTACTCCAGACCTCTACCAATATTCTATGCTCCTTTTAAATTATTGTTGCAGTCATTTTTTATTGCAAGACAAGAAAAAAGGGAATATCATTGAAATGTGGTATTGAACTCGTATTGTTTAGTTTGGTTTGGACAATGGGACCTAAAGTTGAAAATAAAATGGAACCTATATAAATCGGAGAGGCGGCACGATACCTTATGTGTGTTACAAACGAGTATATTACCTCAAAGTAGGTTAGGTTATTTGATTCAAAACCACGTGTTATACATATTAACTTTGTCTAATCATCATAATTTCTTGCGTACAACAGCCAATGTGATAACACTGAAGAATTACTTTGTTATCTAACCGATGTGAACATTTAATTTGTTGGGAACTCATTGGAATTACTAATCTTATGACAGCCAATAGTTTTCCTACAGTATCGTTATGGACCTCAAGACTCAATTGTCAGGCTTACGAATCGTTCGACTACAGCCGATCTCGAGGAAGTGAAATACACCAAGAATATCATGTTGACTCGTAATAGTGCCGAAAATGCTTTTTTTGGATTTTGGAATCAAGATATTTGATATTTTGCAATTGACCCGAATCGTTATACGATTGAAATTTGTCATTCGAAAATTACTTTTTCATATCAATAAATTGTCATATAATCGTGCATGTTCTCGAACTAGCAAAAAAAAAAAAAAAAATTAAATAGTTCTTAAATAATAAACTATGGTTTAAAGTTTAAAATTATTTTTTTAAATCGTCAAAATTGTGAACTATTCGATTCACCTGTTAGCTGTTAATAAATAATAAAAAATATTTTAATTGGTTGTATTGTAAATTATGATATTATACTTACACTGTGTTTGAAATCCATATAGTATGAAAAAAATTTGCCAAAGTATCATACTAAACTACGCATATTGATGCTTATTTGTCTTCTTGTCAATAGTTATTTATCAAAAATTGATTTATTGGCATCAGAAAATTATAACTTTAAAATCGTTATTTCCATTTACAATGTTCTGAAACATAAAAAAGTAGTAAAAGTTATAAAATGTTTCCTACTACTGCAGTTTTAATATATATATATATATATATATATATATATTTATATATAATAATTTTACAATTAAATAATAATATTTTTTTCATATAAAACTGAATTATGGGCCTTATAAACTAGTATAAGTAGTTCAGTAGTATATAATTATATAAGAGAGAAGTAATTATAATTCAAGGTTGTAAGATAATATGGGCGTACACCGTTTGGGCGAGGATTATTTAACTAAAAATACGGTTTGGATGGTATAAAAATGCTTATAATATATACTCAACAATTAATTAAACAAAATTATATAAAATATAAATAATTAACAATAAGTTATATTTTAAAAAAAATTATTGATATGAATATTGATAATATTATTATTATATATATATTATATAACTATATAAGTAGTTAGTAATCTATTGGCTTTGTATGAAAATGCTCATAATATACATTTAACAATTGATTAAAAAAAAAAATCATATAAAATATAAATAATTAATTAATAAGTTTTGTTTAAAAAAAATAGTGATATGGATATTAATAATATTATTATTTATAAGTAGGAAATAATCTACAGTCAAAAAATTAAAATAATTAAATAAAATTACAGATAATATAATTATTAGTAGTTTTTAAAGCAATTTATTGGCCTGTTATTTTAAACCTAAAAATTTTATGTATTTTAATTGGTTAATATCCTCTCTTTTATATTTATTCCATGTTTCTTTTATAAACTCTTTATTTTTTATTAGCAATAATACCATCCGTATCTGTCATCAGATTTTTACCTCGCGCAGGTAAAAATAATTTCACTCGCTCAAATGGACTATTATTTTTTTGGTCAAAATTATTATCTTCGCCCAAACGACCACCACTCGATAATATTATGTAACTTACAATAATAATATCAACATTTACGTATTATAGGTACTTAGTTTAAGTGTTATTTTGAAAATTCGCTAATTGTTTCCGGTTTTCTTACTCTGTGAAAGTTAAAGTATTCAAACATAATTTATTCTGAGTATTTTAACAACATATTTCTTATATTTTATTCATTGTTAAATTTACAAAATATACTAAATTTATAATATATATTTTCTATATAGCCTGCTAATCTACTACAAGCATGTTTTTTGTTTATTACACAAAAATAAAATTAGAACGAAAAAAGGTGATATTTACAACAATGATTTTTTAGATTTATCAATAAAAAAAATATCCTGTCTGGGTTCCGGGAAAGAATAGACCCAGAGTATTCCCTGCTAACCGTAAGAGGCGGTTAAAAAGGGACTGGATGAAGGCAACAGCTTATCCAGTATTGGATGCAGGTGGAGGCCAAAAGGGCTAGTACAGCTGCATACCAAATAGCTGTAGGCGATGATGGAAGACATCTCCACGACTACAGTACTGCGATGTGGAA